ACAGTAGCACCAGTGACCAGCCTGAAAAAATGAGGAAAGGTAGATGGATGGTTCTAGTAAAACAAAAAACTGCTTCCTCTGAGGCCTGGCATTTGGCTGCAAACAAACTCAAGTACTAAATATTCAACTGCATCATGGGAGCATTTGAAGCTATGGCAGAAATTAATCACTGAGAGAAATTAATCCAAAGCTGCTTCTATAGTCTTGTGCAATTTCATTTATAGTTTGCATAAATAATTATAATATATTCATTTGTTTTCCTTCTTTTTTTCGTTTTTACCTTGTCCTTCTGGAGTTTCACCAAAGGGATTCACTTCCACCTGAGTAGCATCAATTTTCAGGAAGAGATTATACAGCTTCTTAATTTGATCTGCAGCCTAAATGTGATCAAATGAAACAGAATTACACCAAAGCAGTAAAAGAAAATTTATTTTGCTGTATTAATGAAATCTTAAAAATAGCAAGATACGTCTTTATTTTCACTTAGGTTTCCTGAAGGGAAAAACAGAAAAGCATAATTATTTGAATTTCCACTGCTATTCATTAGAAGGAATTGCTCAGCTTTCCTCCAGACACTAGAAGAGACTATTATCAAGAACACAAAATATTTTCAGTACAGTCTAACAATGCTGTTAATCTTTTTGTAATTTATCATGTCCCTATTAGCAGAGTTATGCTGCAAGATGAGCTACAATCATTAACACAAACAAGCTCCATTTAAGTCAAAGGTAAACATGATTTTCAGTTTATAATGACAAGGTTTTCCTTAGTATACTGGAATAAAACAGTTGTTATATTCATCAATCAGAACCCATAATCTGTGAAACAACAATTACTGGGTGTCTAATGGAAACTATTACAAGACAGAAAGACAGAAGTCCTGAACAACGGAGTTACTGAACAGCAGAGTTCCAACTGAAAAAAGCTTGTCCCAAAAACATAAATCGCAAAGGTAAGAATATTCAGTATTTCCTGGATGTTGTGCCCCAGTTCACTCCTCTCACTCTACTTAACGTTCACTCACTCATTCACTTCTTTTTAACCAACACTTATGAATCGATTATGTCACAGCTGGCTGGCATCATGTGAGCAGGGGATAGGGATGAGAACATGAATGAGGTATGACCCCCAACCTGGAAACTTCACAGCTACAATGAACAGGGCCTGTGATTCAACGCAGCAAGACTGAGCCATCTTGGCTGACTACTCGGCATCATTCTCATGCTTGACTCATTTTATTTTCTGGCTATCGTTTTCCCTTTGCCACATTTTTGTTTTTTGTACCAGCCCTGCATTATTTGTCATCAGATCCATTTCTGGACCTTCCCCAGCTCTACTCTGTATATCAGGGGAGCTAACCTTTGCAGGCTGAGTTTCCAGGGCTAATGGATCAGCTGCCCTCCAGACAAGTAATTCAAAAAAAACCCAAAAAAACAAAACCAAAAACTGTTGCTGTCAAGTCGATTCCAACTCATAGACACCCTATAGGACAGGGGAGAAGCACCCGAAAGGGTTTCCAGGGAGAGGCTTGTAGAGTCAAAATGCCAACTTTTTGGTTAGCAGCTGCAGCTCTTAACCACTATGCCATCACAGCCAACAGGAACTAACGGTGGGACACTGGAGGTGGAGAAAGAGAAAGGCAGGGTATTTCTA